ATAACGTTTGAAGTAATAAAATAAATCCAATATCTTTTTATGAATTGCTATACGTCTTGGTTAAGAAATTGAAGAGATATGGATTTTATTAAGAATAAACTGGACTGCGACGCGCATTAAACGCCGGATCAGACAAAGGCTGGTTCGAACCCTGCCGGCGAACACATTATCTTCATTAAGTTTTTTCGGGTGCGCACGCTGATAAATATACTGCAACACTTAAAATATAACACGATACTTATATATGCTGGTCAATGGTGCATTATAGGTAATAAGGTCTATAGTATTATCCTAACGGTTATTGGGTAGGCAGTAAGTTTCAAATTATACCAGACGCTATTGTGTAAGAAGAATTGTGGATGTTAATGTGGTACTTTTAGCTATTTTATTGTGTTGTTAACATTGTACTCGTTATTTATTACTTACATTATTTGGACTGTTATCCTCATCTGCATTGCCATTTTCACAACGTTTCGGTCGTTGTACGCTTGGGTTTTCTTCAGGGGATTGGAATTTCGAACCGAATCCCTTATTTCATCCCTTAGGATAGATTGTTCTACTTCCACGTGCCATGCCTCTTCCGGGTATCTCAGTTATTTCCCTTTAACTCAACTCTCGAATTTTGTTGACCATCTGGTATTAAATTCACAACTATGGGTCTAGTCACTGGATCTAACCAACATTTTTATACACTGAGCAATGTCTACTTGAAGCCATGTGTCCAATCACCAGAAAAAGGCCGGAGTGTACAACGGCCGAAACGTTGTGAATATGGCAATGAAGATGAGAATAACAGTCCGAATAATGCAAATATTGCAAGTAATCATAATACCTGACCTCAGAGATATAGACAGATATTGTTATTTATTATTGATTACTTAATTATTAGTTATTGATAATCAACAATTAATAGTACACGCATAAACATATTATTATTAATTATTCGTAGTTTGTTACTTTGTTTATTATTTAATTCATTTAATTATTTATTCACATATTTTGTTTAATGTATTTATTTGTTCTCAGGCTTCTGTTATCCTTTTTCTTTAGTTTAAGGTATTGGTTTTCTATAAACTATTACAGTTTCTATTTTTTACAAAATAAATCTCGAGGTCAAACTTGATTTTTTTTGTTTTTGCATTTGAAATGAATGTTTTTGAAATCGAATTTTGAAAACGTGAGCTGGAACTACTACACAAGTAATTATGCATTTTGTCTAATATATACACACACACACACACACACACACACATATATATATATATATATATATATATATATATTATCCGTCACCAGTAGCACGACTCAGATTTTCACAATGCAATATTCACGTGCTGAGTACAATACACACACACACACACACATATATATATATATATATATATATGCATCTTGACATATATATATATATATATATATATATATAAAAGCAGGCATCTTGATATATATATATATATATATATATATATATATATATATATATATATATAAATATATATAATTTGTTCATATAGACAAAACCAATTTACTCTCGACAAAGATGCAACTTCATTTCGCTGCATTTAGGTATTTTATCTTAATGTATTACTTTGTTTAAATTATTATATGCGTTGTATATGTTGCATGAATTTGCATTTATCACATAAGTATTTTACAAGTTATTCGTTTTTATTATTCGATTTTAAGTAACGTAGAAAATCTTGCTTTTGTTTTCTGCATTTCCAGGCGTGTTCTGATCATTTATTTAGTAATTTGTCTCGGTCTGGGAAAGTAATTATACCTATTTTATCCTCCAAACTCATTAAAGTTTTGGGATTTTCTGTTGTAGGCTGATGCCGTTTTCCTTATTTCCCATGATATTCTATGATTTGGTTTTGTTTTTAATTTATCATATATGATTAGAAAAGATTATATTATTCTCATATTGACTTTTTTAAAGGATGTTTTCTGTTCATAGTTTCTCTTTTTTCAGCTTCCTTCAATTATTCCTGCATTTTTCTTTGTTATCCATTGAATTTACATTGACTTGGTATATTACATTACTTTTCAAGTAAATATGATTTAAGAGACATTCGTTGTTTACTCTATAGTTACAGGTGAGTTACGTTTGTACTGCTGGTTTGTTCGGGGATCTTTTCTTGTGTTTTTTCTTATTTTTCGTGTCACTTTCTCGGTGTAGCAGATTGTTACTGTGTTTCTATTGAATATCTCGTGAAAAGTTCTAAATGTGTGGAATTATTTGTGCATGAGTGCAAGGAATATTTTCCCAACGTTTACTTTACGTTTCTGTTGTACGACTGACTAATCCATATGATGTTTATTTTCTATTAGCGTTTTGTGCTGTGTGGTGTGTACGCTCTTTCGTTAGTTTTCGTGCGTGTTCATACGATTTGTGGATATGTGTCTAATTGTATATGTTAAGGTACTTCGTGATCGTTTTCGTGAGATGTGAACTGGGCAGAACCTGTCTTTGTTAATCTTTACATATGTATTGCCATGGGATGCTTTTCACTAATCGACAAAATTGAATAAGAAACATAGGCACTAGGACGAAAAATCACGATCATGATACTCAAAGTTTTCATTTTACTAATTTTTCACCACGAAATACAAGACCTAAATGTCACTCGACTGGAAGACTGTTTTGATTGTGGAAGCAGCTTTTCTCGTGTTTTCTTGCGAAGGCGGTGTACGAATGTAACTTCCTCATTACTAATGGAATACAAAGTGATGGAAGATGATTCGTCCAAATTTACTTTGTACGGTGGATCTGAATGCCTGAAATGTTGGAATTAACGAATGTCTCTCACCTGAACATTCGCCGTGGAAATAGCGATAGAAGGATTTGCCAGGTACTTGCGAGCTTTCGTCTCTGGGAAAAATTTTGTGAAGTAGAAAAAATTATTCTCCCACAAAACGTATGTATCGTATGTATATGTATATGTGTATAGATATGTGTATGTATATGTGTGTGTATATGTGTATGTACATGTGTATGTATATGTGTGTGTGTATGTGTATGTACATGTGTATGTATATGTGCATGTATATATGTGTGTTTATGTATGTATATGTGTATATATATATATGTGTCCGTGTATACACTCTCAATGACTGTCACTATCACAAAATTTCGTTTCTTGTTTTACTTTTTTTTTTAAATTTTCTTCCACACGTATTTTCCGTGTATATTTTCTTCTTTTTTCAAATACTTTTCTGTCATGATATTTTTCTTAACATTGTTGCTTCGAAAATTTAATATGTCAGCATCAACTTTTGTCTCGTTTAAATATGATTTCCTTCATTTCTTGAGATGAAAATTTCTGTTTGGCTTGTTTTTTTCATGGAATTGCATTTTGACCTTTTATTTTCTTTAAAATCGGTTTCTGATTGCTTCCGATTTGTGAATTATTTTCGATTTTGTTTTTTTTTTCAGATTATAAATTCTTTGTTTTTTTTTACTGCCAATATGTCTTCAAAAAGTATTTTACTACTTTCTTCCTTACTTGTTATTTACTTCTTTTTTTTCCTTACTTGTTACTTCGGCCTTTCCTCATTAGCTGTGATTTCTTTTTCACTTCCTTACTTGTTTTTTTCGTTATTTTTCCCTTACTTGGTATTTCCTCCTTTCTTTTTATTTCATTCATTTTCTTTACTTCCTTCTTCCTTACTTTTTATTTCTTTCTTTCTTCCTTTCTTGTTATTTTCTTCTTTTTTTCCTTACTTTTTTATTTTCTAGTTTCCTTCTTACTTGTTACTTTCTCACTACTTGTTATTTCCTTCTTTCTTCCTTTTTTCTTATTCCCTTCATTTTCCTTAGTTGTTATTTCTTTCTTTTATTCTTTACCTTTTATTTCCTTCTTTCTTCCTTCCCCGTTATTTCCTTCTTTTTTTCCTTCTTTCTTTGTGCTTGAATTCTTCGTTTTATATTTCATGTAAAATTTATTTTACATGATATTTTAATATAGTAAACTATGAAATCTAAACTAACACAGCAAGAGACTCACCTGATACATAGATTATGGAATTTAATTCATATGCACTGAGTTTAGTAAAGAAATGAAGAGTAGGATTATTGTGCAGCAATAATTTTCTAATTGATAAAGGACAGTCTATATTGTCAAAATCAACTTTTGAATCCTTGGCATTATTCGAGACTCGCACATAGTTTTCCCCCAAATGTATGCAATTTGCATCTAGCTCCGGTAACTACGGCAAAAGTACACTGGAAACACGTGTTCTCGTTCGATTACCGAAGTTAAGAAGTATTGATCCCGGTCAGTGCTTAAATGAAGGAACGTTTGTGAACACCAGGTAATGTAAAGAGCCACCTATAATCTGAAATATGATTCGTCTATGAAATGCCACAAAATATTTATAAGCCGTAAAAATCAAATAAGTGAGTCAATCAATCAAAAGCTCAGCTAACGGACAGAGTGATTTTGCTTGAGAAGTAACCATTAGTCAGGAGATATTGCCTGAATTAGAAGCAGCATTAAAGTCAAATAATAACGAAATGGAAGGGAAATGCACAAATGTCAGAAGTAGGAATGTTTTTGATTCTCATCTATCTTAGTAATTAATTCAGTGTTCATGCCGTTTATAGTTGGGATTATTTCCTTTTAGCATCTACAGAATTACGGCGAAAGAGATTTTGTATTAAATTAAAACCTTTCCACCAGTGTTTACTTCGTAAGGAACAACAGAATTAAAATAATGTAATTCATGTACTGTTTTATATTTTCCTTCAGATAGGTTGTGTGTTGCATGCTTCAATGTACCTCTCGACATCCTGTGTCCGATAAGAAAATACAAAATGAACGAAATGTTGTGGAATACTAAACGATGTAACTGGGTTTAGTCGGACATAAAACCAAAAGAAAGATAATGTTATTTGGTGATATTTTTATCAGCCAAAGATATTCAGAATACTTAAATTCAGATTACACACAGAACAGAAGCTGTCGTCAAGTGTAACAAGCAAACATTTATGAGGATTTAAAAAAGTAAACAAGTCACTCATTGTATAAGATATAATACTTAAATAACAAAAAAAAAAAACAAACTTCAAAACTATAGATAGCTTAACAGAAATAATCAGGACTTTAGCCAGGGTATCGAAAAGGATTTCGGAATCGAGAACTGTGAAATGTAAAGTGATACGCACACGCAAAAAACGAGTAACAAGAAAACGTTCTTAGCATTTATCAGTAAATAGATTTTAAAAAGCGATTTAGTTTCACACGGGACATAAATTTATGGCATATATTCATAACAATGATATTAGCAAAAAAAAAATGGCCTTAACAAAAAATATATGACCCGGAAACTATTTAGAATTGAACAACTAGCTAATATAGCGTATGATGGGGAGCCTTTCATTTTGTAAACTTTATACTTGTATCGCGAATGACTAGAATTAGGAAGAGCTTTTTACAGATGATTATGAATTTGTTTTGATCTATTGAATGTTGAAAAGATGTAAGCTGTATGTGAGAGTAAATATTCGCTACAGAGTTTAAATCTGAACTCTAATCAGAGACCCAAACGTGAGCCCGATAAGCATTTTGTCTTTTGCAACATTCAAAGTTTTTATTATATTGCGAAAAGCACTGTTTTATGAAAAATAACATTTGCTCCATCCTTCAATGAAAATAACTTTGGAATTTGGAAAAGCAAGTTTGTCTAGAAAATAGTCTGAGAAAACTAAGATAGATTTGTCCACAATAAAACATTATCAGGCGGTGTTGAATGCAGAGTGTTATGTAGAGATTGAAGCAGAAATATAGAGTATGGAAAAATCACTGGAAACTATAAATGAATAAATACATAGTGATAGATTGATAAATAGACGAAGAAGAAAAAACGAGAATATATATATATATATATATATATATATATATACACATTCTCTGTGTGTTTTCCTTACTGCAGCAGAGTGATTACAGTGTATTTCACAAACATTTTGTCAACATCTATTATGCCGTCAAATGTGTTTATTTACTGAAAGCCAAAATTGGCCAGCTGATTGTATACACACAAAAGCCATTCAAATAGAGATAAATGCTGCAAATGTTTTTTTATGCGTTTTCTTTTTATATCAATAAAAACTCGTGATAAAAAACGCAATAAACAAATTTACATAAAATGTCAAACAAGTAATCGTTAGTTCATCGGCCATCATAAAATCTTTTTGAACCTTTTGGTCGTAAAAAGCAAATGTCATGAAAAATTCGAGTCAAAGTTGAACAAAAATGTATTGCATTTTGTTACATTGATTTAAGGATTTTGTTACATTGATTGTTATGATTTAAGGATTTTGTTAATGTAATAAAATTTTGGCCTATATTCGTTTGACTTCAGCGTCTATTTTTTGTAAACGATGTCATGCATTTACGATATATTATGTTATTCTTGATTGAATGCATCGTAATAATAAAGAGACTGGAAGTATTGTGAACTTCACAAAAGCAATTTGCTTTGAGAGGAATTACAATAATTAAATTGGGCAAGTAGAAAATTTTGGATGGAAATAACATTAACTTTAGATACAGCAAAGGTTTTCGAGCGATTTAGCGTCGAATAATGGTTTGGGAGCAAATCGCTTTGGCCATTCTGAGTGTAGAAATCGAGCCTAACGTGTTGTTAATAATAATGTCCTTCCAATGAATTATTAATCAGCATATCTATCTATCTATCTATCTATCTATCTATCTATCTATCTATCTATCTATCTATCTATCTATAAAAAGGCGGGATGTGTGTGTGTGTAACGAATGCACGGCCGCAATTTTCTACGGATTTGCACCAAAATTTACATACACATGCTCCAGGTTAGCGGGAAGGCCAAGACAGACTTTGCATTTCCCAACTCCCATCGATAGTGGAAATAATAGATTTTTTCATGCTTCTACGGCAGTTTTCATGTAGTTTGCTGCCATTTTCTAATGGCCAGAGTGAGAGCCAACAGCTGACTGACACGAATGTTAAGTAGCATGCTAGCATGCCAAAAAAATATCGATAGCTGCATTCGTCACAAGTGGGAAAAATTTAAATCTGCATGGCACATTACTCCAATTGGCTCATTCGCTTGCTTAAACTCAACGTTGATTCTGATTCCTCAGAACTGGGTTGGGTGTGAAAAAGTATTTGTTGTTAACATTATTTTTTTCATTCGGTTTTCCAGTTACGAGTCCTTTTTTTAAAGCTGATCGTTTTGTGTTCATTTTGTTTAGTTCTTTTTTCGTAACAACAGATTTAATGTTTAGTATAGAGCTTAGAAAAAAAGTCACAGTGTGAGATAGACAAGAAGTAAGGCATGTAGCAACATCAGCACGGCAAAGGGCACTCCTTTAAAGGCAAAGGAAGGTCAAAAATATTTTAAGTCAAGTGATAGCGATTGCTGTATGAGTCGTACGATTTTTGAATCAAGCACGGGCAACGCCGGGCCATGCTGCTATTCTATCTATCTATCTATCTATCTATCTATCTATCTGTTAATTCATATCTGTTTATTTAGGTTGGGCGCTTCGACTGGCGTAATGGTTAGCAAACCTGTCTCGCGAGATCAGTTACCACTGAATAGTGAGTTCGATCCTTATTGTGTTCCAACATTTTCGGCCTTGTGCCTCATCTAAGCTATGCTTAGAAAGTCATTTGGGCACCTCGATGTGATGCAATAGTTAGCAAGCATGTATCCCTAGAATAATTACGATTGAGTAGTGAGTTCGAACCTCATTGAGTGCCCCCACCAGATTCGATCTTGTGCCATATCTAAGCTGCCCTTTGAAAATCACTATCCGTTTATTTAGGTCATTTTGTTCTTATTTCTCTCTCTTTATCTCTCTCTCTCTCTTTATATATTTATATTTATATATATATATATATATATATATATATATATATATATGTGTGTGTGTGTGTGTATTTAGCCAGCTTATTTTCAGTCAAACATGTTTCATTGAATGGTATTTACATATTATGTCTATTTGTTTTTATACTGATCCTTTCCAGTTCTCTACTCAGTTTTTTGATTGTAAGATGAAATTCATTAAGGAAGGCGCCGTACTTGTTTTTCCTAACCACGTCCTTTCGATCACCTGCAAGATCATCCTCAGGGTTAAATTCAGGAACATATTTTCTATCAACAACAATAATACTACGCCACGAAAATAATAAAAAAAAGATTTCAAATTCTCTAGGCCCTCTATATCAAAATGAACCAACACTCAATAAAATTTATTACCAGTGTAAAAGAAACGTTTGAATTGCATATAACAGCAACTTAATGACTTTTTACATTCTAGCATATTGAAATGTTCTTATATTGAAACTTTATTTTACAAAATAATCATAATTAAAACAGATAAATTAATTTTTTTAAATAATTATAGCAGAGCACGTTCAAGCATCACAAAGAAATGCAGATTTTATCGAAGATACAATAAATTTATTTTGTAATTTATCCCAGGGGATGATCTTGGAGGAGATCGAAAATACGTGGGTAGGAAAAACTACGGCACTTCCTTGATGAATTTTATCTTAACATTGATTAGAGAACTATAAAGGATCAGGATAAAAATAAATAGGCATAATACAAACATATTGTCTATATTATTCAATGAAACATATTTGAATATATATGTATATGGGTTGGAGTGTCACTTTGAGGAGGAGAAGAGGAGGCTTAAAAGAGATGTGCGTAAAGGCGTTCCCGTTGAAATTCCTGAAGACACCCGCAGGCAGCTCAATCTGACGTGTACAGATTGTGGTAGAGTGTGATTGCCGATGGCTGGTCTAAGGAGACACTTGAGAGTGCACCGACGGAGGGTGGCAATTGACTATAGATCCGCAGACGTCCAACAACATAAATTTGATATTTGCGGTAAGACATATGCGGGACCAGAAGCGGTTTCATGCGACATTTTAAATTGCATGATAATATAACATCTGCTGCTGCACCTCTTAAGTGTTTGTTGCCAGAGTCTGTAGGTCCCTTGCTGGGCTAAAGAACCCCATTCGTTCAGCACATCTGTTCATCGTTCATGTAGATATTCTCCAAAAAGATATGTAGTAATGGCCGTACTCGGACACGAGTTGGAAACCACCACGTGTATTTATAGCATGAATAATTGTATCTGAAACAAAAGTGGAGATGATGAGATAATTGCAATGCAAGGTTCAATGATCCTAGATAAGAAATGCACTTCACACGTTGGCTTTTGGCAGAGTATCTTGCTGTGAACTTTATTTTCGTACTCGCAACTTCTTTACTTTTACTCTTTCATTCAAACTGGAACCGTGCGACACATAATATTTTTCATGACGTTTTCTCTATTAAAACTACTTTGGATTGTATTCTCTCGATGTAAATGTTGGAATTACAAACGACATCTCTTAATAACTTGTAGTTTTAATAGCTAGTTTCCCTTTTTTTTCCTTCAGAGTCCATTTTAGAATATTGCTGAAGCAAATTGTCGTTTACACAAATTCATATTGTATTGTTCTGTTAGTGAAGGGCATTCTTATTTATCATTGATATATAATTTATTCAATGTCTTCAGATTTGTATATTGTCTTTTTTTCCCCTAAACTTTAACAATTATGGCAACAGATCAAACCGGAAAAAAACGTTTAGTGATAATTTAATATGTGCGGTTTCCTATCGATTTTACTTGGTATTTCTATATTTCATGACATTTCTATGGAAACTTCTGTGGACTCTGATCAGAAGTTAAACATCAAAACCTTTTACCTAAGGCACATTGAGAATGTTGTCTTTTGAATTCGTTCTCACAAGTATGCAGTTTAATCAGGGAAAGATAACTACTGCTGAATGTAGAACTCTTCCCTCTAAAATACAACTTCATTTGCATATCACCACAGAGAATATTACAAATTTCCTGAAATTCCGTATTTTTTAACACATCCAATTTTAGGTTGTCATTGAAATATCAATCTCGTTTTTTAGCACTATTAGATGTTTTAAATTCTATTTAATACAGATTCTTTTAAATAAGTTATTCTTCATCATTTTTATAATTTTTTCACCAAATTACGACGAAACATATATTTTATTCATCATCAGGCCTCTGGTCAGTATATAAGGAGAAGAAATTTATTTGTTTGTCAGGTAATATTTAGCGAGTTTCACTTTTAAAAGGTGTGAAACAGAAAATTGGTAGCAAGTAAAGTTAGTGTATGTACTTACTGATCGACATCGGACAAGAAATCGATACATGGAATTGTTGTGGCAACAGAAAAATATATAACAAGATGAAAAGGTCGAACTAATCGTGGAATTAGTAAATTATGTTAAAATAATATTTATAGCAATTATAGAGCGTCTAAAAGCTGACATATGATTCAATTTAACAAGATTGTTTTCGTCGATGAAAAATGTTCAGAAGCAAAAGAGAAGATTTGAAAAAAGATAGAATTTCAACAAAGTATGGTATGCAGGAAAATAAATGATAAATTGCAGGTGAAAAGAGAAATCAAATTCTTTAAAAATAAAAGCAAATGACTGAAAATAAAAGCTAAAACGGAAAGTCACTGTTATTGTGAATTGCGATTTGTCGTGTGCGTACATCACTCAGCTAATATTTGCTGAAAAATCCCGTATGAACCATGCTGACTCTGATTACTTGTTCTCAGTTTGATAAAGGAGAAGAAATACAAAACAAATTAAATCAGGCAGTTGAATCCCGCCGAACGATAAAAATAAAATAAACTATTAAAAATAAAATAAGGGGAGATAATAAATTGTTAAATGACAAAAAGTGGAAATTGCTGTTTGTAAAGTAGACGAGAAAGAAATAAAATTCAATCATTTCAAAAGTTGATCGTTTAAAATTAAACAAAGTAATTCAACTTTAGAATGGATTTATTTTCCCTACTTAAATAATTGGTCTGTTAATTTGTCAAAGAGGCGCCGTTAATGGCTGATATATTTGCCTTTACTAGCAACGAACTCGAGAAGACATTGTTTTTTTTTTTCAATTAAAAAATTAATGACTTTTGAATATGGTTTGCAAAGAAAACGGAGCATTTTTTTTTCGTTTGTTTAATGTCTTCTAATATTTTGTCATTTTCTCATCTCGCTTTAAAACTAAAGATTTTATTTCCATTGATGTAATAAAATGACTTTAATAATTACCTCGATGTCCATGTTACAAGGAAATGTGTAAAATGTCTGAAAAAATATTCCTTCGTGTATGTCTTATTCGGACATATTTTGCTGACATTGTGTAAATTTCTTAAAATAATAACACTCTTTCCTTGACAATAGTACCGTCTCAGAAACGTTTGTTGAAATGGTTTCTTTCATGCTTTTTCTTACAATATGGAACGTATCCAATGTTTTTGAAGAAATAGGCAAGATTATCAAGTATTGCTTTATTGACAGAATCGAATTTGAATTTCTTACACAATCTAGAAATTTTACAGCATTTCATTTGCTTCAGGAATTTTCTTATCTTCTTTATTCTTTCAGGTCAATAATATTAATATTGCATGTTGAAGAACACGTGGTGTCTAATGAAAAGAGAGAAAGGTTCAAAACAAAGTGACATAAAAGCAGACTTTAAAGATAAAACTATTCCTGAATTATAAAACAAATTTCAAAGAACAAAATCTGTGCATTACGAACGAGATCTGCTGAAATAATTGAATCGGTTCAAGAATTTGAAAATGAATAAGAATTACGAATTTGGAGAAAATCATGCAAATTGAAGCATTCTAAAAAGCAAGACTTTATAGAATTCTGCGTTTTGAATTATAGCTGATGCTGGAAACGTTTGACTTAGTCACGCTTAGTGATATAGGTACTTGTTTCGTGTTTTTTTCCTATTCGTTTTCTGTCTTGACCAAATGCTACTGTTATGTCGATTGAAATTTCCACATGTTCACTTCATCGATGTTGAACATTTTTGTCACATTTTCATTGCAGAAACACGTGCAAATATTAAGAAATTGGCATACCGTTATGAATAAACAATTGAAATACCTTTTTTATCTAAAATTGATATTTACTTTAAGAAAAGCCTATAGTCACCAAGATTAAAGCTAATTTGTGACGATAATTGCTTAAATTTCTATCTTTTTATTACTACCGTTTCCAGGTCTAATTCAAATCTAACCATTAACTTCTTTATTATTATTATTATATATATATATATATATATATATATATATATATATAGAGAGAGAGAGAGAGAGAGAAAAATAGAGAGAGTAGAGTATATATATATATATATATATATATATATATATACATACAGAGTGAGGAGAAAGAGAGAAGTATGTATTGACTGACTGTTCTGCGAATCAAGACATTATTTTCTTTGCTGCACAATGCAATCATTTTTTTGAGAAAATCGCTCTTCCTTAAAGGCTTATGACCAAATTTCCAATTAATGACGGTTTTAAGCAATTTAGGGTTCATTTATTTCCTCCGCATCAAATTAGAACATGATTGATGTTAGCTTTTGAAAAATATA